CTTAGCTGCTTGAGCCACAGGCGCCGAGCCCACAAAACTATTCTTAAGAAAATAAGCAAAAAGGCTCCTGCAGATTCTTACCCCTTCCTTACCTTCAATCCTTTTTCATCTTTCATCCTTTGCTCCTTCCCATTTGGAACAATAATGAAAATAGGTCCAGATTTGTCTTCATCTTCCTTTAAGCTAGTTTTGCTTGGCACCTTCTTCCCTTGCGCACTCTGCAACCAAGGTTCAGGGAATTGTGATTAGCAAGGCCACTTCTCCTTGAGAAAATGATGTTGAGCCCAGTAAAAGGACACTATGGAAACCAGAGACATCTTTCTACATTATATTCCACGTGAAATAACTAGACGAATTATAGAATCTGGCATATGTTTTTGTACACATTCTCTACAAATTTACATAAAGAAAAAAATTTACTTTTTTTTTTGAGACAGTGCCTCAAACTGTCATTCAGGGTAGAGTGCCGTGGCGCCACAGCTCACAGCAAACTCCAACTCCTGGGCTCAAGCGATTTTCCTGCCTCTGTCTCCCAAGTAGCTGGGACAATAGGCACCTGCCACAGTGCCTGGCTATTTTTGGTTGCAGCTGTCACTGTTGTTTGGTAGGCCCGGGCTGGATTTGAACCCGCCAGCTCAGGTGTATGTGGCTGGTGTCTTAGCCATAGGCGCCGAGCCGTAAGAGTATTCTTAAGTAACGTTTGGTTAGTTCTTGGACAGGCATGTTATATAGGTGGAAAAGCTACCATTACCAGTCATTAGTGTGGGTCACAGACTTTTGGTATATTGGATAGTTCTTTTCTTTCTTGAAATCTTTGACACTACTGATAACTTTCCATACTAATGATAATAACATCTTTTTTTTTTTTGAGACAAAGTCTTACTATGTTGCCCTCAGTAGAGTGCTGTGGCATCACAGCTCACAGCAACCTCTAACTTGTGGGCTTAAGTGATTCTCTTGCCTCAGCCTCCTAAGTAGATGGGACCATAGGCTCCCGCCATAATGCCTGGCTATTATTTGGCTGTAGTTGGCCTGGGATGGATTCGAACCCGTCAGCTCCAGTGTATGCAGTTGGCACTCTAGCTGCTGAGCTACAGGCACAAAGCCGATAATGACATCTTGAATGGCATTTATACATTTCACAACACTTAGTTTGAAAGCTTTACTGTTTACCACCATATTTAAAATGTTATCTCTAACAAAGCAGTATAATCAGAGAAAGTTACAAGAAATGCTTTAAGTACCTGAGTTACTTGTTTTAAAAAAAATCCAAGATTTAGAATCTTTGAATATAATTGAAAGAAAATAGTGACCTATAGTCCATAGTAAGAGGTAAAATTTAATTATTGTATTTATCATAAAAGAAGCAATTTCTAGTTGGCCAAAATTTCTTTTTAGAAGTCATTCAGAAAAATCAAATGAGATCATTTTTGTGAAGTTGCTTTGTAAACAGCAAGTGACTTGAAAAAATGTGTGCCATTAAGAACAGAGTCAAAGGCTTGGTGTCTGTAGCTCAAGTGGCTAAGGCACCAGTCACATACACCTGAGCTGGCAGGTTCGAATCCAGCCCATGCCTGCCAAACAACAATGACTACAACCTAAAAATAGCCAGGTATTGTGGTGGGTGCCTATAGTCCCAGCTACTTGGGAGGCTTAGGCAAGAGAATCGCTTAAGCCCAGTAGTTGGAGGTTGCTGTGAGCTGTGACACTACAGCACTCTACCCAAAGTGACAGCTTGAGGCTCTGTCTCAAAAACAAAAAACAAAAAAAAAGTCAAAAATAATTCATTTTATTTTATTTTATGTATTTTTTTGAGACATAGTCTCACTATGTCACCCTTGGTAGAGTGCTGTGATGTCACAGCTCACAGCAACCTCAAACTCTCAGGCTTAAGCGATTCTCTTGCCTCAGCCTCCCAAGTAGCTGGGACTATAGGTGCCTTCCACAATGCCTGGCTATTTTTTTGTTGCAGTTGTCGTCGTTTAGCTGGCCCTGGCCGGGTTTGAACCAGCTGGCCTTGGTGTATGTGGCTGGCACTGTAACCACTGTGCAATGGGCACCGAGCCAAAAGAACAGAGCCAAAAATAATTCAAATCATTTGTGATCAATATACTAAAATAAGTACTTGTTAAATTAGAAATGAGGACAGAGCAAAGGACAAGAAAAGACCAACTTCATTGGATAGTTTAAAAGACAATTTCCCATAGATTTAAAAAAAAAATTTTATTATTGGGTAGTGCCTGTGGCTCAAAGAGTAGGGTGCCAGCCCCATATACCAGGGGTAGTGGGTTCAAGCCTGGCCCTGGCCAAACTGTAAAAAAAAAAAAAAAAAATTATTTTCTTAAAACAGGGTCTCACTCTGTTGCCCAGGTGAGAATGTAGTGGCCTGTGTAGTTCAGGGTAGAGGCTCACTTCAGCCTGAAACTTCTGGGCTTAAGTGATCCCCCTGCCTCAGCCTTGTGAGTAGCTAGCACTACCACCTAGGTCAGCCACCCCTATGCCTGGCTAATCTTTTAAAAAATTTTCTGAAGAGATTGTGGGGGGTGTGTATGTGTCTCATTATGTTGTCCAGGCTTCAAAGTATGAGATATACACACACTCCCCATAATCTCTAGGGCAATATTATTAAAAATGAGCCACAGAAATGAAAATAAATAATAACTAGCTAACATAAAATATAGTGATGCTCTTTCATGTATGATTTCTTTCTTAATAGAATAAGATAGTGTATGAGACATTCTTAATGCTAATCTAGTGTACCCAAGAATGCAGTTAATATACCTTTGTTTTAGAGGAAACTCCTGTAGCTTTGGCCTTTTTCGCATCAGGCTTGGGTTCTGCACTGCTGGAAACAGAATCTTCAACAGGTGCTTTGAGAAAAAAAGCATGTACTATAAATATAAATTCTTTTTTCTTTTTTTTTTTTTTTTTGAGACAGAGCCTCAAGCTGTCCCCCTGGGTAGAGTGCCATGGCTTCACTGCTCATAGCAATCTCCAACTCCTAGGCTCAAGGAAGTCTCCTGCCTCAGCCTCCCAAGTAGCTGGGACCACAGGCACCTGCCACAATGCCTGGCTATTTTTTGGTTGCAGCTGTCGTTGTTGTTTGGCGGGCCCAGGCT